TTGCCCAGGCTGGAGTGCAGTGGCACAATCTTGGCTCACCGCACTCTCTGCCTCCCAGGTTCAAGCAATTCTCCTGCGTCAGCCTCCCAAGTAGTTGGGATTACCGGTGCCTGCCACCTCACCTGGCTAATTCTTTCGTATTTTTAGTAGAGACGGGGTTTCGCGATGTTGACCAGGCTGGTCTCGAACTCCTGACCTCGTGATCCACCCTTCTCGGCCTCCCAAAGTGCTGAGATTACAGGATTGAGCCACCACGCCCAGCCAGAAACTAACTTCTTTTAAATATTGATCATTTTAATACATAACGTTTTTACAACTGAACTGGCAGTTACCCAGTGTCATTTTCTAGCCTCAGGAGTTGGAATGGGCACTCTGCTGTCCATCATGTCTAGAGAGACGGGGAGTGTTTCTCAGAAATGCCTTGTGAAGCAGGAGAGGCTGCCATGTGCAGGGCACAAGCACAGACTGACAGTGACCTCTCCTCTGTGCAGGGAAGAATGCAAGCCCACAGCCAAGGGGTGGGCTCTGTTCCAATCTGGCCTGAGGAAGGGGCTGTTTCTCTGCTACAAATATTGGTTATCCACTAAGACACTGTGCCACAGGAGACAGTGATGAACTCAGAACAGAGGTAACACCTGCCCTCGTGGAGTTTATGGTTGGATAGAGGTTCACAACCAAATAATTGCACAAAGAAAGATAATATTCCAGCTGGGAGAAACGGCTTGCAGGAAAAGGACAGCAGGTTCTCAGGGTGTATAACTGAGACCAGGCCTAATTTGGAAGCGCAGGAAAGGCCTCCCTGAGGAAAGGACACCCTGCAAGGGAAGTAACTTATTGTCCCAATGACAGAGTTGGAGCAACTGAGACTCGGATTAAGAGACCTGCTCAGTGTTACTACTAATCAATGGAGGGGTCTAGATTCAATGCCAGATCCATTTGGTTACAGGGTCCAAGGCCTGAATGACCACCGCTCTCTCCTGCTCCCAGACTGGCTGCCCAGTCACTGGCTCTCTAGCCCCTAAGGTAGGGACCAACTCTCCCATCCTGAAGCATAGTCCAAACTAACCAGGACAGTGGAAGGATGCAATTGCAGGCCAGATATGGGAGAACTGGGCCCCGTATCAGAGCCAGCACCTTAGATCCCCCTGCCCTCTTTGAGGTCAGGAACCCCTGCAGCCAGGCTACAGCTTAGGGAGGGGTGGGCCAGGACAGCCATGAGTATCTGGCTCCTCCCGTTTTCTGGTGCTTGGGAAGCCCGTGGCATTGTGATGGTTCAGGGAAAGCCAATTTCTATCTAGACAGCTGGGGCAGATGCTTGGTACAGCAAATGAGAGAGGACAGGGCCCAGACCATGAGGCTCTTGGTTGGGCCTCAAGGGAAAACCTTATGATCTCTGTCCGTTTGTCTGTCTCCTTGTCCAGCCTTTTACATTTCAGAACTATACTGCCTGGCTTCAGCACCCTCCACCCTGGGCTGGAGGGATCAGGCATGGGGGCTGCTGGGTGAGGGACAGGCTTGGAGTTAGCACAGGTGCTCCTGCCAGTGCTGAGGAAGGGACAGAGTGGCATGAGGGGCCTCCCACAGCCCTGCAAGTCCCCATGCCTGGGCTTCTGAGAAGGAGCCTAGGGGTGAAAGCTGCAAACAAAAGGAAGCCCTATGAGCAGAGAAAGAGCGGTCCTTGTTCTCAGCCACTTTGAAGATCCTGTTGCTGGCTAGTGCTGTACCAGGGTGCCTTGGAGGGGCATGGGCTGAGAGTCCCAGGATGCCTCAGAGGGGCATGGGCTGGGAGTCCCAGGACGCCTTGGAGGGGCATGGGCTGGGAGTCCCAGGACGCCTTGGAGGGGCATGGGCTGGGAGTCCCAGGGTGCTTAGAGGGGCATGGGCTGGGAGTCCCAGGACACCTTGGAGGGCATGGGTTGGGAGTCCCAGGTCTCCTTGGGGGGGCACGGGCTGGGAGTCCCAGGACGCCTTAGGGGGGCATGGGTTGGGAGTCCCAGGACTCCTTGGAGGGCATGGGCTGGGAGTCCCAGGGCACCTTGGAGGGGCATGGGCTGAGTTCCAGGACACCTTGGAGGGGCATGGGCTGGGAGTCCCAGGGCCTGAGGTGTAGCATTGGCTCTGGTAGAAGCTGGCTCTTCCCTTCTCTCTGGACCTTGGTTTACTCGTGTGAAACGAGAGCACAGGAGCATGTGACAAGGCTCCTAAGAGTCCACTATTCTGTAACTCCAGTGTCTAGACCACAGAGAGATGCTGTGGCTCATGCCTGTTTCTGCTCTGGTCCATGAACAGGGGGCTGGGCTGTGGCCCTGACATGTCAGCTCACTGTGCCCAGGACCCATAGCTGTGCCTCTCTGTGGTTCCCAAGCCTGGCATAACCCAAAACGCAGCAGATGCTCAGTAGCTGAGTGAGAGGGGAATGAGCTGAAAAGAGTCCCTCCAGCCCCCTCCCCAGCTGATGTCCCCAGTGATTCTAAACTAGAACCCGAGAAGCAGCCAGGCAAATGCATGCATTTGTCTCACCAGATGGGGAGCAGAAACACGGGCCTGAGTGGGAGTTCTTGGCTGGTCTAATTGACAGAGGCTGGACCTGAGCCGGACCCAGTTCTTTGTCCCTCCCAGCAAGTAAAAAACTCTCCTTTGCAGTCTGGGAGAACTGTGGCTCACAGGGATGGTGGGGCTCATGGGCGCTGGGCTGGCTGGGGGGCGGCATCCCTTCCCACCCCATTACCTCCAGGGTCAGGGTGGGGTTGTCCAGGATGATGTCCCGCTCCACCACCACCCCAGGCTCGTCTGGGACCTTGCACACGGCTGTGATCCGGATCATGTTGTCTGACTTCAGGTACTTCTCATACTGTGCGTACGAGATCTTCACGGGATACTCTGCCTCTGGAAGGAGAAACCAGGGGATCGGAGTGAGGGGGAGTGGGGATGGCTTGTGAACCTTCCTCAGAACTGACACCAAGCCAACGCAGGGCGAGCTGGTGGGAGGATCTGCAGCCCCGGGCTGGACTGAGCCCTCCTTGGGCCAGGTGCTGTGAGAAGCGTCCCCCTGGTCAGGGTGGGCTCCAGAGCAGGGGCCAAGGAGACCCCAGGTCTGTCTCTGGCTGGGCAGATTCCCAGGAGGATGAGCTCATAGGGGATAAAGATACTGCTGCTTCCTCCCTACCCTGAAAAGTGTTGGAGGGCAAGTGTCCTTTTTTTTTATTTTTTAAATTATTTGTAGAGATGGAGTCTCCCTATGTTGTCCAGGCTGGTCTCAAAATCCTGGACTCGAGTGATCCTCCCACCTTGGCCTCCCAAAGTGTTGGGATTATAGGCATGAGCACTGTGCCTGGCCATAGGTGTCCTCTTGAGGGGCAGGGGAAGAATAAAAATGCCACCTGATTGCCTAACAACAGTAGCAATCATGACAAACACAAATAATAAGTAGGAAGGGAAGCCGGGGTGCTGGCCAAACAAACGCATAGGATCCTCCCAGTCGTCTAATAGCCCGGGCTTCTATTGCCACTGCGTCCCCCTCATGCCTTAGATCTCTCCTGCTTCTAAATCATCCACACACCAGCCAGACAAAGCCGTAGAAAGCTAGTTTTTTTTTTTGAGACGGAGTCTCGCACTGTCACCTGGGCTGGAGTGCAGTGGTGAGATCTCGGCTCATTGCAACCTCGGCCTCCCAGGTTCGAGCGATTCTCCTGCCTCAGCCTCTCAAGTAGCTGAGATCACAGGCACCTGCCACCATGCCCAGATAATTTTTTTGTATTTTTAGTAGAGATAGGGTTTCACTATGTTGGCCAGGCTGGTTTCAAACTCCTGACTTCGTGATCTGGCTGCCTCAGCCACCCAAAGTGCTGGGATTACAGGCGTGAACCACCGCGCCTGGCCTGGAAAACTGTTTTGTTTTGCTTTGGTTTTTTTTTTTTTTTCCTTCTAAATCACTCTTCTTCCGTGTCACATATCACTTCAAAAATCTTCTGTGGCTCCTCGTTACCTTAGATACAGTTCAGACCCCTCAGCCTGGCCCTGCGTCACCAGTCCCTTAAAATAACCTTCCTCACTTCTTGTTCTGCAGACAAAACAGGCACCTTTTGTCCCCATATTTTGACTCACAGCATTCCCCCAGATGGAAATTCCTCCCCTGGCTTTTCTCCATGCATCTGGCTCCTTCCCCATGCTTAAAGTCCCCTCTTCTGATCCTGTGGGCCACGGGGCCCCCCTCCTCTGATGGGCTTAGGTGCTCTCCTTCCTCAGGCTGTCATGCTGGGTGACCTGGGGTTGCCCCAGGACCCAGTGTCACATACTCTTTTAGGTAAGACTGCAGAGGAAGCCGCCTCTGCTTTTAGCACTGGAGGAATTTGCCAACAGTGCCCCACATGTGCAGAGGGCAGGCCCTTGCATCAACGGGTCCAAGCCTCACCATCAGTGACCACTGAGGTTCAGAAAGGGAAGGAGACTTCGCCAGGGTCATCCAGCAATATCTTGGCAGACAACCAGGCTCTAAGACCACTGTATACCTGCCTCCTCTCTCTTTTCCAATCAGTTCTGCAAAAGGATTTTTTAAAAACCATTTCCATCCTGTGAATTTTTTTTTTTTTTTTTATTTCCAAAAGTTGTTCTTTTGGCCAGGCATGGTGGCTCATGCCCGCAATCCCAGCACTTTGGGAAGTCAAAGTGGGAAAATTGCTTGAGGCCAGGAGTTTGATATCAGCCTGGGTAACATAGTGAGACCCCCATCTCTATAAAAAACTTTAAAAATTAGCTGGGCATGGTGGCATGCCTGTAGTCCTAGCTACTTGGGACTATAGCTACTTGGGAGGCTGAGGCAGAAGGATTGCTTGAACCTGGAGTTTGAGGCTGCAGTGAGCTATGATCACTTCAGCTTCAGCCTGGGAGACAGAGCAAGACTCTGCCTCAAAAAAAAAAAAAAAAAAAAAAGAAGCTCTTTGTTTGAGTTTCTAAGGTCAATAACAGCCAGGCAGTTGCTTCTGATATTGAAAAGATTTCTGTTAAAATTCTGCTAGAAGACAGATGGCTAGGGGATACTACCTTCTGACAGGTGTGACACCTCTCAGTTTCTTTGGAGACAGAATCCTTTCAAGATGGGCTGTATAATTAATCAGTTTCTATTAGTCCCTTATGTGAAGCGAATAACCACCCCACCCTTGTTAATCTGGTTTGTAAGTCCAAACTTTTCATAACAGCTTGAAGGATTTTACCAGTGTGGGCACACCTGCATTCTAATCCTTCCACAGACAGCCTTTATCTGCTCCACCTTGTTCTCTTCCCATCCCTGCTACCCAAGGGCAAGGAGTCGCCGTTCCTCCCAAATGCTCAGACCTCTAAGAAGGCCTGTCACTGTTGTCAGGACTCCAGAAAATCCACCCACCCCGTGGCAGCTGTGGGGGAGTCCTGGGCCAAGGTTTAGGGCCCCGTGGTCATTGCCACCTTCCCAAGGTCAAACTTGAAGAGTGATTTGTTGTGGGGTGGGGTGAGGTGGGTAACAGCAATGCAACCTAGAAAACAGGGGATGGTTCTGGACTCAGCGTCAGAAAACCTAGGACCAAGACCTAACACTGCTACTACCTATGACACTTTATCTCTGAAGCAAGTCACAAATATCTCCCAGCTTCCCTTTCTGCCTCTGTAAGATGGATATTGAAAATCTGCCTTGTTTTTTTAGGAGGTCAAACTGTGTGAGTTGGTTTGACAATACCTGTAAGGGATATTGTGCCATAGTTAAGAACTGCCAGTCTCCCTCCTTCCTCCCTTGGGCCGTAATAGGATTTTGGTTGGCACCACCCTGACATTTGGTTTTCATCACTCTGCTCATAGAAACAGCAACTTCCAAAGCATAAAGTCGTGGCTTAACCACAGGGGCTGATGGCTGCTCCATTCTTAGCTAACCTGGAGCCCTGCAGACACGCTGCAGCCCCAGAAGGCCATTGGCTACCTTGAATTTGTGGATCCCCTCCAACTGAGGGATGCTTTACCTTTCTCGGGGTCCAGGGACAAGGTGGCAGAATCCCTCCACACTTCATGTACAAGCGTGCCGTTGTAGACGATGGTCCAGGCTGTCATGTTCACTGTCACTCTCTTCCTATCGCTGCTCAGGTTTTTGAGCTGTAGGACCAGGTTGACTTCTTTGCCCACTTCCAACAAACCAGTGACCTTGAACTTCCCGCTGATGCTGGGCTCCTGTTCCTCTGTTTCCGAACCCAGTGAAGACGTTGCACCAAATGATGCGTTGGGTTTAAGTTTCCCCAAAGCCTTTTGGAACACTCCTCTTTCCTCCTCAGAGCCTGTGTGGTGGGAAAAGACAGAAACACCCCAGAGATGTGGAGGCAACCTGGGCAGAGGACAGTGCCCGGCCTGGACAGGTGGCCTGGGACTGGTGCTGGCTCTACTGCTGCCCGAGCAGGCATTTGACCTCCGCAGGCCTCCTGCTCACCCGTCTTAACCTGAGACTCACAGACCAGCTGCTTTTTGGTGCTTTTCCAATCTGCTCTCAATTTCCCGGAATCTGTAGAAAGGTTTTATCAGCACCTACACACAATTACTATGTGGTTTGATCATTTGTTTGTGTTAATTAGGTTAGATTTCATTTTTTTTTTCTGATAAAAGGTCTCTTGTGAGACTTAAAGAACAAACAGATAATTTCAAGGTAAGTCACAAGAACCAAGCTGAAAAAGATTAGAATACATTCATAAGCCAAAAAATAAGGTGATGATTTAGAACTGACTTCCTTAAAAAATATTTTTTGTAAACTGTGTTCTTCTGGCTTGTTTCTAAAGGTGGCTTGAGAGCCAAGGAGTGACATTTTGATCTGTGCCAGTTGACAAGGACTTCCCATGGCCGACAGGTTTCCAAGTTATGACTAGTTGAAATTGTCAAGAGATTCCAGGTTTCAAAGCTGCAAGTGCTGGAGGAAAGGTTGGGTTTTCTGACTCTGACTCAGGCTATGGGCACTGCTGAGTGTGATGGCATAAGTGGCCCACAGAGAATGACAGGGATGTACCCAAAAACGGCTCTCAGGGCACACAGAACTGAGTAACTGACTGCAAGCCTCTGAGCCAGGGCTGACTGAGCAGTTCACAAATCAGTTCAGTTCAGATCTATCTTCTGACCTGAAGATAGATCTATGAGAAGGTGCTGACCTTCCAGGAACCCAGACAGAGGTACACAAGGAAGACTGACCATGTTTACTCCGCAGACCACACTTAGGTTCTCCCACTTTCCCCAACAACCTGTAAAATGCTTAAGGCACCAGATGGCCTTTTTGTGTGTGTGTGTGGCAGGGTGTCACTCTGCCACCCAAGCTGGAGTGCAGTGGCATGATCTCGGCTCACTGCAACCTCCACCTCCCACATTCAAGAGATTCTCCTGCCTCAGCCTCCCAAGTAGCTGGGATTACAGGCACCCACCACCACGCCCAGCTAATTTTTGTATTTTTTGTAGAGATGGGGTTTCATGATGTTGGCCAGGCTGGTCTTGAACTCCTAACCTCAGGTGATCCTCTCACCTCAGCCTCTCAAAGTGCTGAGATTACAGGCGTAAGCCACTGCACCAGGCCCCGATGACTTACCATAAGCACTTTATGATACAGCAAGCCCCTTCCCATAAATTACATGTGACTTGCAGAGAATTCAGAGGCCGACTTATCCATGCCCATCAAGTTAAGACCCTAAGAAGAGACACAGCTTGTCCAGACCACTCTGAGATGGACTGGGCCGGTCATCTGCAGAGGCAGAGAGGGGGCCAGTTCCTTGGTGTCTGGACCCCGGTCTAAGTTTCCTCCCACACACCCTGCTGAAAAGGAGGCAGGCAGCCAGATTACCTAAGCTGCTAGTTCCTGGTGGGCTGGGTTCCTTTTGATGCCTTCCCATTCTCTAGTCCAGTTGTAAGTCCACACCCAGAGCTGAAGGCAGTGCACGGATCTGAGCCTTCCGTGCCTGGGACCTCGAAGCCGGTGTGTTTGCACAATGAGGCTTGGAGCCTCGATGCCTATATAGGTCACCTGCTGGGCTTACTCAAGACTAAGCTTCCTCCTGCTGTTTTCTCCCTTTGCTGTTGTTATTGCATCAACACTTAGCAACCTATTTTATTGGCTTTTCCTCCCTGGGGCCCTCAGAGAGAAGCTAGAATCATTAGGTAAGAAGATCTGGGCAGCATCAGGCAGGGTGATCTGTCCTGTCACGTTAAGGGCTGGGGCATTGCCAGGAGTCCTCCAGAGACCCCCTCCCCCCACCCCCACAATGGACCTGCTCGTTCTCCATTGTTTAGGAGGTTTGGCTGGGACAGTCAGAGATCAAGGTGTGAGGGTAAGGTGAGGAACCCCACAGGGTCATACAGCCATGTAAGCAGTGCCTGCAAAGTAGTCACCTTGGGAGGTTATTGTTCCTTCAAGGCTGCAGATGTTCAAACTGATAAAGATTACCACTGCTATTTATCAAGTCTTGACTATATGCCAGGCATTGCACTTGGTACTTTGTGTACATTGGCTCATTTAAATCCCACTGAGGACAGGCATTGCTCTTCTGATTCTTCAGAGAGGAAATGAGGGCTCAGAGATCAGAGGAAACTTGCTGGAGGTCGCACAGTTATGGCTGGTAGGGCTGGAGTTCACCTTGTGCCCCAGAGTTTTTGCTCCCTGGCCCACTACGCTTGTTCCTATGTCATAACATTGTTGGAAATACTTGTCCTACATCTCCGCCCTCCACACCCTTGGCCCATCTGCAGTGTCCTCTGTCGCATCCCCAAGGCCCAGCATGAAGCAGATACTCAGTCAGGGCTCAGAACATGTTTACTGACTGAGCGAAGGGATATCTGACCTCAGTCCTGGGGATGACCTGCAGAGGAAGACTGGAGCCAGATTGAGGTCACCAACCTCCTAAAATTGTGCCTCTGAATGTTCACAAATACCAGCAATGGAGGAGCACCCACCTGGACTTGAAGTGAGACCCCATCTCCTGCACTCAGCTTTCCTCTTTTGTAAACTCGGCCAATAGCAATAGCCAACAGTCACTTAGAGATTCAGGGCTTACTTTAGGGGGTACTGCGTGCACCTTTGTAATAATACTTTTCTTGACCCCTTAGAACTAACTGTGAGGATCAATGGAATGAAGCATTTCAAAGCATTTTAGAAAGAGTGAAATGTTGACCCCATTAAGGAGTGACTGTGGCCTGCAAGGGCAAGCACTAAATTACTTTTGGCTGTTTCTAAAAGTGAACTTCAACTTCAAAGGCAGAACTTTTGTCATCACTGAGAATCCTCAAAGAGATGCACTGCTGGTTTCAAAAGCAACTCTGAGCAGTGAATGTAATTGACTCGAGGCAGCCTCGCAGCAACTGGCCTTCCAAGGTGACTTTAGGGTGACCAGCAATATATGGCTGCCTGAGATTTTAGGGGCTTGTGCATTCATACCATGTAATTACACCTCATCTGGCCTCTTGGGAGATCTCCAAATGTGCACAGTGTGAGCCCACATCTCTGGGCTTCTTTGTCCATTTCTTTGTTCAGATGGCTTTCTCCCTGAGTTTCTCGGAGGCTAGGTCAGCAGACGGATGGAGAAATCTCTCCTAAAGCCCTTGGGGGCCTTTCAAGGGGGCTGTGTCTCTCCCTATGATGTCCAATCATGGTGCTGTCACCCCAGCTGTGCAGCTGAGACAGGGACACAGCTGGAGATGGCTGAGTTGACAACCATCTGTGCCCTGCAACAAACTTCCACTGGCACAGCAGCTGCCCATGATGGTTTTGCACCCGCTGGAAACAGTCCTGGAAGGTGGTTGTTAGGTGCTAGGGAGCAATCCTATCACTCAGGCAGAACCGGCTGCCAGTGCGGGGCAGGAGGAGGCCTTTTCTCCTCTCCACCCTCAGAACCATCCTCCTTCCATTAAGCTCCTCACAGTACCACCCCGTCAGTGCCCCTCCTACCTTCCGGGTACTTGTACTTGTCTGTGACGTCCATGCGAGAGTTGCTGCCCACCGCCTTGGTGCTGATATACCTTCCAATGCTGCGACTGTCCACAGAATTCTTCCTCTGCGTGCCAGTGTTGCTATCAAGCAGCCAGGTGATGCGGTCGGCATTAACCTCCGCGAAGATAAAGGGCATGTCGAAGTTGAGGTTCACGTCACCCTCTCGAATGCCAATGACCGAAGCGGGGCCGCACTGGAACACTCCTAGAGGCCAAGATGCAGAGGCTCAATATATGCCAAGGCCACAGCCTGCCCAGTGCTCAATTCCCAAGGGCCTTCCAGGACCACCGCAAACCTCTACCTCTGCCCCTCCCAAATTCCTTCACCCCTGACCATGTCGCACTCATGTGGCATTCCGCAGAGACCTCCTGGGCTATTATTCTCTTGCTGGTCGAACTCACACCCTCCATAAGACCACACATCCCGCATTCCACAGGCGCCTCATCCATGCTAACCCACTGTCCTTGGTCTGTTTCCTAAAGAGGAAAGTCTTGCTGTCTTGTGCTCAAGGTGGATGCCTTTATTTTTCTTTTTTTTTTTTTTGAAATGGAGTCTTGCTCTGTTGCCAGGCTGGAGTGCAGTGGCACAATCCTGGCTCACTGCAACCTCTGCCTCCTGGGTTCAAGTGATTCTCTTGCCTCAGCCTCCTGAGTAGCTGGAACTACAGGCGCATGCCACCATGCCCAGTTAATTTTTGTAATATTAGTGGAGACAGGGTTTCACCATGTTGGCCAGGATGGTCTCGATCTCTGCTCGTGACCTGCCTGCCTTGGTGGCTGCCTTTTTTCTACCTCTACAACTCATTCGTGCCTAGAAGCCCATCACCTTCCTATTCCTGGAAGACTTCCCTGAACAGGCAGCCTACATGGGCCTCTTGTTCCTCTGAGCTCTCAAGCCTGACCATTTCTTCCCTCCCCTTAGAATTCAGCATAGCAAGTTTAGATAGTAGGTAGATAGATGGACAGGTAGGTAGTCAGTGCCTTTCAGTTTTTTTCTCCACAATCCCGAGAAAGAACTACATTTGACATCTTGGCACACATATGATATAGAAACAAAAGTTTCACAGGACAGTGGTCCTTAGTCTAACTATATCTAATGAACCTGGATAGTTTATGTTCCTTTCCCCCTTTTCCATTCCATTCCATTTCATTTTTCTTTCCTAAAATGATGGCCACAACCCACTAACTAGATCTTATAACTACTAATGGGTTGCAATGAAAAGTCTGGAAAATAGTGGCCTAGCAAACATCTCAGTTACCTCCAAGCCCCCAGATTTAGTAACATACACTGATTCTGGTAGAGGAGCTTAGGGTTGGGGGTGGGGTAAGACTTAATTTTCACTGTTAGTCCTTTAGAATAGTTTGAATTTTTTTCAACTATGTGCATGTATTACTTTATAAATTGCTTCTCGCTTTTTTTTTTTTTTGAGACACAGTCTTGCTCTGTCTCCCAGGCCAGGGTGCAACAGTGCGATCTTGGCTAACTACAACCTCCATCTCCTGGGTTCAAGTGATTCTCCCACCTCAGCCTCCCAAGTAGCTGGGACTACAGGTGTGTGCCACCATGCCTGGCTAATTTTGTATTTTTAGTAGAGACAGGGTTTCACCATGTTGCTCAGGCTGGTCTCGAACTCCTGACCTCAAGTAATACACCCGCCTTGGCCTCCCAAAGTGCTGGAATTACAGGCACGAGCCACCATGCCCAGCCCCATAAATCACTTTTTAATGTTTCAAGAAACAACTGAAAATGAGGGTAACAGACAAGACATACTCTAGAGGTCAGAGGAGGGAAGAGAAAACACTCCTGGAGAGTCTGGGACCCAACCCCTGATGGGGCAGGAGACAGAGAAAGGCCAGAGGAGGGAGCAGAGGCCCGGGATGGGGATGGCAGAGGCAGCCTGCCTAAGGGGGAGCTTGGCATGGCAGAGAGAGCTGCTGTGTGTGGTGACCAGTGGAGAATGTGGACTAAACCCCAAGGGCAACAGGGAACCGCAAATTTTCTGTGCTGGGAGGGAGAAGCAGCTGTAGTTGGTGCAGGAAAATCATTACTGGAAGAGGAAGGCTCCTCTCTCTGCTCACCTGGCCTGTGCCAAGGCTCTTTGCAGCAACAGCAGCCTTTGTGGGTGCAGGGCAGGCACTCACTTAAACGCAGCCCAAGCCAAACAAAATTAGCAGGGGAGATCTATTTTTAAAACTATTTTTGTTTTAATCCTGTCATGCATTCCAGAGATGGAGAGGGCTTTGGAGTTACTACCCTATGCTGCTATCCAAGGCTGTAAATAATTGTGAGGCACACAACTTAGAACCACACCCCGAGAAGTTACCTTGGCTCCTTTCCTGAGGGGTAGCGTCCAACACCTGCCATCCACCGTACGAGGGGCCCAGGTCAGACCTCACAAACCAGCCTTCATTCCAGACGTGGAAATTCCTGCAGACAGAACCAGAGACTGCAGCACTTGCCCAAGACCACACAGTAGGTGAGCAGCAAGACAACACATCTTTACACTTATGTGCATCGAGTGAGTTTACCCTGCGACTGCTGTTATGCTAAGCCCTGGTGAGCACTGTCTCTAGAAATCCTCACAGCACTGTGAAATGGGTACTATTTTTATGCATGGCAGGGTCAAAATTTGGACCCGTGTATGCCTAACTCCAAAGTCAAAGCCTTGACCAGCATGCACCTTTCTAAGGAGCAGAACAAATCTAAATTGGAGCCAGCTACCCAGGGGCAAACCCACATAGCTTTCTCCCTGTGCCTGGTGGGGTATGCTCTGTGCTCTATGTAGTCTGAAATGAATGGGGTTGCAGCAGGAGTAACTGGCCTACCTAAGAGCCACACAGTCTTTTGGCTGGGGTCTGTACGGAAGAATGACATCTGCCAGTCCTCAAATATTATTTGTCTTGTGTCTCAATTTGTAAGTCTCAGTCATCACAAAGCACAGCCAGGTAGCCAAAGTCTTATTCTGTTTCCCAGTTCTGCCCTCTTCTCTCCTCCTTTCTACTCCCATGGAAACTACACTGGTCTTGGTACCTTTCAGATCAACATGAAGAAAATACAAGTCCGACATAAATCCAAGTTCTAATCAACGTGGAACAAAAAAATTCTATACTCAACAGGTGGAAAAGATAATTCTAAGCAGTCTGCCCATTTCAGAAGCCATAAAGGAAGAGACTCACATGTTCGAGCATGTAAAAATATTGAACTTACATGTAAACAAAAAAACAAACAAAAAACCTGTAGTTCTGTTTCTGGTATGGAGGATAAGCTCAAAACAGATGAATCCTTTTGTATACAATGAGAAACTGTGGGAAAAAAATGAAAAACTAGAAAATACATCTGAGGATGATCAAAGCATGAAGACTTTGGAGAGGAATCAGAATGTGGAGGAAGCTGCACTTTTTATGAGTTTGCTCTAAGGAAAGGCCACAGTTGGGGTAAAATGCATAGAGCAAGAACTCAATGGGCAGCCCACAGCTTTCTGACCTGAGGAACAAGGAACAGAGCCTGGGCCAACCTCAGTTGCTGCAGAGTGAGGGAGGATTTCTGCCCAAACCTCTGAGTCACTCTCAATCATGCATGTATGAGGCAGACCACGAAGCACTGAGTTGGAGATAAAAGCACTGAACCAAGAGCAGAGCCACTTACTGCCTACCACAGGGGAGAGACAGTCTGCACATTGAGTCACCCAAGATACACGGCTAATACAAGATAACAGAATTCAGACAAATCCAATGTCTGGGGTATGGGCCAAAATTACTCAACAAACAAAGAACCAGGACAATGTGACTTATCCTCAAGGGAAAAGACAGTCTGCAGAGACCAACCATAAAATAATCCAGATGTTGGAATTGTCAGACAAAGACTAAAGCAGCTACTGGAGCTAGGCTTAATGAAATAAAGAAAAATATGCTCATAATGAATGAAAAGAGAGAAACTTTTGGCAGAGAAATAGAAAATATGAAAAAGAACCAAATGGAAAACTTTAACTGGAAAAAAGACCAATATCTGAAATTAAATGATGTAACAAATAAACTTATTAGCAGAATAGAGATGACAGAGGAGTCAATAAATTTGAAGATAGATGACTAGAAATTATCTAATTTGAAGGCAAAGTGAGACAAACGATTGAAAAAAAAAAGACAGAAATATATGCAACATACATGCTAGATATTTACTGTAGCAATATTGTAATGTGCTTACAAATCAATAAGAAAAAGCATACTTTCTTTGAACTAAGTGGTGAAGAAATAAGAAATAGAAAAAGAAAAACATGCCTATAAATAGCAATGAGCAGTCAAGTTTTATAAGAAATACAAATAACCACTGAACAGATGAAAATAGTTTTAACCCCAGTACTATTAAAAGAAAATTAAAATGACAAAGAGATAACATGACAGAGATACATAGATTACACCTGTAAGACTGACGGAGATTAAAGCATAGGGTGATGCTCATTGTTGCACTCATTTCCAGGTGGGAAACAAGCACTGTCATACTCCACTGGTGGGAGTTTAAATTGGTATGACCTTCACGGAAAGCAATTTGGCAAGGAATATAAAAACCTCTAAAAATCTGCATACCCACTGAGCCAGTAAGTCCACATCCAGGAATTTCTCCTATGGAAAAACTCGTGTAAGTGCACATAGATGTACATCCAAAGGTGTCCACCGAGGCATTGTTTGTAATAGCAAACATGTTGGAGCAAAAGTTCATCAATAAGGGAAGTGGCAGATAAATAGTGGTAGAGCCATGCAATGGGATATACAACATTTGTCAAAAAGAACAAGTAAAATCAATCTAGTACTTACAGGGAGAGATGTCTAAGAGATATCATGACATAAGAAAATCAATGTGACTGAACATCATATGTTCTCCTTCATAAGTTGGGGCTAAGCTATGAGGATGCAAAGGCATAAGAATGACACAATGCACTTTGGGGACTCAGAGAGAAAGAGTGGGAAGGGGTGAGGGATAAAAGACTACAAATTGGGTTCAGTGTATACTGCTCAGGAGATGGGTGCACCAGAATCCCACAAATCACCACTAAAGAATTTACCAATGTAACCAAATACCACCGGTTCCCCCAAAACCTATGAAAATAAAAAAGGAAAAAGAAAAAAAAACCCTATGTGTATATAGGTAGATGTATGATAAATCCATCTATTAAAAATTATACATAAGACGTTGGAGAAAGTTAGTCCCCAATAATTACATTTTCTTAGATATCCACCATTAACAGTTTGGTGTATGTATTATGTATATAGCACATACAAACTAAGTTTTATGTTACTTATTTCTGTAATGTTTTTATTTTCTGTCATGTGAATTACTCATTACTTCTATAATTAGAATATATATATAATATGAATGATCATAATTAACACAGTGTTAACACAGAAAGTTGTGTTCTGTGTTATTGCATATATTAACTTATTTAATCCTTACAACACCCTAAAAGACAGAAATAATTATTCTTCCCCATTCAACAACTCCAGAAACTGAGGTTCAGAGAAGTTAAGTGACTTGCGAAGGTCTTACAGTGAGTAAGCAGAGTGGGATTTGAATCCAGGCAGATGGGGTTAAAGAAGGGAAATAGTTAACAGTAGCTTCCATGTTATGTAACCTGATTTTACATAGGTTCCATTCCATATCACAGAATATGATGCATTTATGATGCATTTGAAATGATGTTATTTTTAAAGATTTTTTAATGACATGGGGAAATGCTCATGATATAATGTTTAGCAAAAAACACATGACTAAAACTAATGGTGAAGTGGCTGGTTTCGAGGTGTGGGAAAAAGTGGGATGTATCTATTACATGTTCTGTCTTCTACTCATGCCTTGTAAAATGTATCATCCCAATTCTACAAATAACAATAACTCACAGAGAAAAGATGAATGGAAAACTACCAAGTTTTAAAAATATGAGAATAAGATCATAAATGATTTTTATTTCTTTATGTATCCTGAAATTTTCTACAATTATTTTTTAAAGCCATCATAGAAATGGTCTCCAGGACCCAGCAAGAGTCTTTTTGAACAGGTTTTTAGGATCAGTCAGAGCTCAGCAAGGAGAAGGCATGGGAAGAAATGTGTGAAGATGGTCCTAGGTGGGTGAAATAGGCAGGGGAGGGATGAGAAAGTGAATGAGAAAACCGAGTTTCACATTCAATTTGATCATGGCAGAGTACCCTAGGGGAAGGGCAAGTAGGTAAAAAAAAAAAAAAAAAAAAAAAATTTGATAAGTAGTTGTACTTTAATTCTTGCTTGCAAGGCAGGAATTTAAGCCAGAGCAGATAACAACTACATCCTGGTTCCTCCCTCATGCAAAAGCCAGCCACTTTAGTTACACATAAATATTTGGGATATGCATCTTTCTAATGCCCAGTGGCGCCATGTGGAAACTCCGGCGTGAGTTTCTCGTTGTGTGTCACGCTCTCTCCCCTTGCAACCTCGGGCTCCACTGCTTTCCTGAAGGTGTCAGGGGCAGGAGCTCAGGAGAGGACAGGCTGTGGGCATCAGGACTACCTGAAACATTTATTAAAAACTGCAGATTCCTGCTGCTCTCATCTTTCTCCGCCCAAATTAATTCTGATGCAATCTTTGACATTTATAAACCACTGCTCTAGAGACACCAACTGAGCTATGCTTCCCTTTGAATTCACAGAATTAGGAGACCCTGCCTAGAAAGTGGCCCCGATCCCCACCCTTCTGTGGGTAAACTCCCATTTGTCCTCCCAAATTCTGTTCAGTTACTACCTCTGCCAAAAGCCTTTCCTGACATGCTGAGAGAGTGCCAACCATACCTCTGTGCTATCTCCGAATCTTGGAAATAATTCATTGATTTTGTAGCCACTCCATAATCACCGAGCTATTTATGCAGCTATAAGTTCAGTCTCTAAGGCCCAGTTAGAAAACAAGACAAACAAGCAAAACCCTCCTCCAGCATAGTTCCTGCATCTTGTTCCTCCTGGTGCCCAGAGTCCAGTGCAGGTGTGCACGGAATCACGTCTGCTGAATTATTACTGCACTGAAATCACTCTCCTTCACTTCCTAAGGGCCTGGGAGCCAGCTCAGGACTAGTGGAGTCAGGCATTCAGAGGCAGAGGCTGTGGAGAGATTGCATAAGGAGCCAGTGGCTTGGCTGAGGTGTGGGTGCTGACAGCTCTTCTCTGAAAGCACTGCCCAACTCTACCTCCCTGGCAGGGCTGGGCAGTCTCTAGGTGCCTTCTACCTCAGAGCTCTGCAAAGTTTACATGTAGAGTCAGATCTATGACTCTAGAAATTGGGGGATCAAGTCAAATGAATGAAGAAAAAAAGCCAGAAAAGCCAAGATAACCTTGCCTAAATTGTTCCAAATCATTCGGCTGCTGCTCAGTGGCTGAATACGCTCCAGAGACCTGCTTTGCAGCGGCCCAGAAGGA